GCGCAGTGCTACAGCCCTCCGAAGATCCGTGGAGTCGCTTGACTGGAAGCAACACATGGAAAAAGATGGTGTTACATACTCGCAAGCACATTGCATTGAGGGCAGCATTTCTACGGCTCCCTCTATAGCAAGCACGATAGATGAGGAGCCACAAACGACCGCTTCAGCATACTTGATGATGAAAGCAACGACCTTTGCAACCGGAACAATCGACGAGACTCTCGAAGCGCTGGCGTCGCCTGTTACGGAAAATTATCGTCGCGCGATGCACTTTTTGCACGGATCGCGTTTTATCGATGGAGTATGCTTGCACACAATTACTCAGGCAGACTCCAAACAGGCAAAATCAAATACGCAAGTATCAACAACTCTCAAGTGGGCGGCCTATGACGATAGAAAACTAAAGAATTCTATAGAGGGTCCTGTCGGCACAGACTACTGCTTTATTGAGCACTCAGGCATCCACTATGGTGACTCTGACAACAGCATCGATGGACTATTTGGATTCTCTATTCAGGAATCGATTGTCCGAGATAGTGAAGTGCCCTCGCTTGCTGGAGTCGGATTGGCACGTGGTCATCTCCATCGCACTGGCATCATAATTATGCCTACAGATCGCCCCGATGTTGTTCAAGTCACTTCGATTTTGCAGATGCGTATGACAGAGAATGTTGCGTTAGGTGCCTTGACTGACGTCAATACAGCTGTATTGAGCTCCGGGAAACCGCGGTCAGCAGCCTTAGCTCGGCTAATGTGTCGCCGAGTTGCCGCAGTGGGGAGATTGGAGCTTTTGCTGGAGCGCCGCCGGCTTAACAAGCTCGATCATTTGCCTCAGGCCGAATGGGTTGCTGATAACGTGCGTAAGACTTGTGCTGTATGCCGAAAACAATTTACGCTCAGGCGGCGCAAGCATCATTGTCGACACTGTGGAGAAGTCGTGTGCGCTTCTTGTGCTCCCAAGCGTGAGGTTGAAACGGACACTAATGCTGCTATCAATGTCCGCCTATGCACGGCCTGCGTCGTACAATCGCGTATGAAATTACAAGAAGCTCGAGGCTTTCGCATTCCTTTAAGCAGCATGAGGGATGCCGACTCATCATCAGTGTCCCCGTCCTTGAGTAATATGACTGAGACATTCTGGCCTATGACTCATAGTGATAACGTTGAGACGAAAACACGATCAGTAGCGTTATCATCTGGAAGCAGCAGTTTTTCAATATTGAGTGACTTGCATAGCTCTTCGCGAATAATGTGCAAGGGCCACACAGATGAAGCAATTGACTACGAGGATGATCTTGTGAAAGTATCATCGGGCAACTCCAGTAGTTATTCTCTTAGCGAGTTTGACTCTATCGACAGCCTTGTTTCTACTTCTGAATCTACTCAAGTGGAAAGAGATTGTCAACTTGTACAATGCAGTATTAGCAGTGAGCGAATTGGCAGCAGATATTATTCGACCTGCTCTCCACATTCACTGGGAAGCTGCACTCTACCGTCTGATGACCTGCTTGAGCGCATTCAATCGATGAAGACCAATTTATCCATTTTAAGGAATTCATGTGATCATTTGAGGAGTGCTAGCTTTCGCATGGGCAATGGTGCTGATAATCTATCGAGTTTTGTCGCCGACGCTGAAGTTTTGACTCCTCGCCCCGCCGTCGAAGCGCTTGATTCTCACAGTGAATTGTACGATGTAAGAAGACGAACGAGAAGCAGTGGATATGAGAGTTCATTGGATATCGATTTTATAAACACAAACGAGCAATTTACGCTTCTCTGCCCTCAGATAGGGCGCCAGTGGCGGACGCAAACCTACAGCAGTGTGCATCAAGATCCTGGTGAAAAGTCTTACGTGAGCGCAAGGTTATCGAGCATGTCATTTGTGTCAACCTTGTCCGATTCGACAATGCTTGGCGACGAGGACACCCCTGAACAACCAGAGTCACAGAATTTTGATTGCAAATTTTTGAATGTGGAGGGACGTGGCGAGCGCCAAGCCGAACTATTGGCTCTCAAACAGAAGATCGAGGTGCTTCAACGGTCATTGGCTGCGGCAACATCGCAGCTTGATAGCATCCAGCCATATCGAGCGCCAAGTCGATTTCGGCAGCAGCTATTCGACCCAGTGACTGCAAAGCATGAAACAATTCATAGGCAGCTGGTGGAAGAGTTACACGAAATTTTGGGTGTAAGCAGCACGAGCCAAAATAACAGCTAATTTTTTTTCGAATCGAGCTCCATATTTTCAGCACCACCTCGGGTAAATAATTGATGATGAACTGGCTTAGAAATATAATGCCAAAAGTAGTACGAGCTTGCATTGATCACAGTCCATTTTATTTTGAGACTGGGAATATTGCGTGCCAGATTCTTTTGCTCACCATTGTAAGGGCGTAAAGCGTCGATCTTGCTCTGTATACACCGATGAAAGCAGATAACGATACATGTCGCAGAAAGCAATGGCAACGCAATCTAATGATCTCCTGTACTTGATTCTAAGTTAACGCAGATATCGAGTATATCTTTTCTAGATTCATCTACAGTCATTACCAGAAAAGGATTTACTATTATAAGTTGTCAAACGTAGGCATTGAAGGAACCTTTCAAGTATTATATTTCGTACAGCTGTAGCATGTTCGCATCTACTCCGTATCTGAGTCGTCAAACACCTCAGCAATTTTGCCAAAGCGCTCAGAGTGGTAATTGGTGTACGTCAAAAATGGGTTCGAAAGCTTTGACTCAAATGTCGGTACAAAGCCTGACGGTGTGAAACCAAGTTCAGTATAAATCTGCTTGCGAAGCATGCGCGCTGCGATATCATCACGACAAACAAAATATAATTTTATGACGTAGTTCGTCCATTTACTTGTGTCTGACCGTACCAGTGATGAAGGTACATGGACTGAGAATTTTTTCCTTGCACCCCGGACCGCTAATGACATCATTTGCCAGCCAGCGCATGGTCTCAGCATACTTGCTCATACAGCTGACAGTCTGCGAATCGATAATGTCAAAAGTTGGTCTTACAAATCGACCGACATGTCAGAGCAAAACATCGTACCAAATAGGGAGGGTCCATCAGAATGTAATCAAAGAAGTGATGAAATTTGTCTGGAAGGTTTGTGGGATCATTATAATCGTAAAATACAAAATGTCCGTTGTACTTTGCGTCAAAGCGGCGATCATACTCGAATAAAAACACATTGTCACTGATAATGGGCGAATCGCTTTCGTTTTGAATTTTAAGAAAATCACGATACGCAGCCGGCGCACTCACAAAAGCGATGCGCTTTGCTTTACTTTGGTCAATTGCTTCTTGTGCTAGCGCGCGGCCAGTCTGGTCGTCATACCAGCTACATTTTAATGTATACGTTTGAATCATTATTAAGATTTAGAGAATGTTAACTGATACACGCACAACTGCGAAAGACGAAAGTTTTCGGTTACTGATGTATCGTTTTGCGTCAGGTGCGCTTGGATATGTGCCTTCAGCGCTGCCAGAGTGTCGGCCGAGAGCTCACTGGAAAGCAAGGCTTCCATTATTGCTGATCAAATGAGTTTTAACCAATCGAGAAAGTTTTGACTACTGCTCAATTTTTGCAATGGATGAGTTACTGGCGAGCGAGCTGTCAGCCGAAACGCTAGCAGCACTACAGGAGCATTTGCTGGAGTGCCACTTAGAGGATGACGCATCTCTCGGAGAATTTTCGGCTGTCGCAGTTGTCCGTGGCTTATATGATACTGAACCTAAGCTTTTGATCAACATACTCAGACTGCATGCCCTCGTTTCGTGAATTAGCTGGTACGACGAGAAAACTGGGCGCGCGTTAGCACAAGAGGCTATCGACCACAGCAGTAGCGAGCTCAAAATAGCATTTGTGAGTACGCCTTCAGCTTATCACGCCTTTCTTAAGATCATGAGCGAGATGGAGGACAAGACGAAGCGGGACGCTATGGGCAATAACGTTTACATCTTCGAGTACGACCGACGATTCGGGGAGAAGTACGGCGATCGTTTTTGTTTTTATGATTACAATAAACCCACGGACCTGCCTGAAAAATTTCATCACTTTTTCGATTACATATTGATGGAGCCGCCACATTTGGTAAGTTGTTTCTATGTTTCGTTACTGCTAAGCTTTTCTGGCTGTTGATCGTGTATCTCTGTCGTAGAGCTCCAACTGCTTGGAAAAGTTCTCCAACACTATGCGATGGCTTGCTAGGGACGTGGAAATTACGCCTGGAAAGAAAGATCGCGTCATCAACCCCTCCACATTTATTAACTGTACGATATGAAAATATAAGTTGTAAGTCATACATTGAAAGGGATTGATACTTGGTGATGTACAGCCCAACTTTTTCGGAAGGAGATGAAAGCCGATCTAGGTTTCACTCCCACGGGCTTTCTCCCAGTATTTCAATCAAAGTTGTCCAACAACCTTTTCACATACACAAATTACGAGTCAAAGCGGTTCGGACCTTGCGAGGTGTCTGACGGCGAGGATAATGCCTATGACTAAAGTTCATGAATTGTACTCACCACAGTGTCTCATATGATTGTTATAGAAAATATATTACGTCAAATTCATTTAAGCGCTCTGCATGTGAGTTGTTGATAGTATCTACAAACAAGGCAGAGTGAACATGGCAGCCGACCATGCTCATCGGCAGCACATTCATTCAGTCGTTTGAGCCGGAACCGAGGCTATAGTTTACTCACAATAAGTATGCTCGATTCGCCACTCGCCGTCAGCATCACTTGACACAGGCGCCGGCGCCGTAGGGACTTTTACTCCATTCACCATATTCGATTTCTGCTTCTCTTGAGTGAAAGCGCTTAAGATGTTCCTTGGTATGGGCAATCAATTGCCTTGTGGCGAAATAATAAGTTAACAAATTCGATTTTATGACGGACTCCCCTATCCGGGTGTTATACCAGGGACAATGTCTCGTCACCAAGTCGTGGTATTCCTACAACAAACGATAGATTGAATCCGTAGGATCCTTGCAGATAGCTATTTCACTCAGTTCTCTGCATGTAGATTCATGACAATAATTCCTGCTACAAACCGTACCATTTCGGTGTTTTAACGGTCTTGCAATTCCTAGCACATATCTCTGGGAATATTTTCTTAAGCTGCATACCCTCATTCTCCATTCTAGAGTGAACCAGTATTTTGCGCCAATTATCCGTGAGGTTTCGCCGATCTGCACAGCGTGCCAAGTGCCGACTCAGCAGTACTGTCACTTCGTGGCAGGAATGAAATTGCACGATATTGCGAAACCCAGTCGCTTCTACTATCCATCGGCCCTAGCGTAAGAGACGACAGCTTACAGCTGTAAGTTACTATGCTACCACAGACATACTCTGGAGACCGCGACACGCAATTGCTCTCTCATTTCCCATCTGAGACCGCGGCTAAATGCCGTTTCTGACTTCCGAGCCTGCTCGCGTCAATGAGTAGTTTTGTTGCTATCAATTTTGACCAAACGTATGCCCTACACGAAAGCTATTGCAAACACGTGCCCGCACCAAAAGCGCTTCTTCATTCTGAGAGAGGTGGTCTATTCCTCTAGGACGAGAGCGTGAAACCTGACCCTTTCTTCGTTTGTTGACCCATGGCTTGTGGCGATTCAGCCAAACCATACCTGCAGCGAGGCTGCCGTAACTTTGCGCTTGGAGGAAGCGTAAGTTAGGTCACCGACCTTTCGTTCTATACTCACGACAAGTACGAGTTTAGCGGATCGCAATCCGCTTACTCCAGGAGTAATTACAACCTTAACCCAAGGCTAATTAACTTTTCCGTTTGAATTCAATACCTGACTTTTTTATTTTTATCGGCGGCAAAACCGCCTACCGTACTTCATAAAATACAAGCCACTCAAAAAGATCACTTTTTTATTGATTTTCGTTCACCTCTTAACATTAAGGTGATTTTTGTTTAACAAAAAAATCACTACATGGGTAATGACCAAACAAAAAAATCACCCCGGAGTCCGCACTCTAGTTTGGCATCATGAAGG